GTGATGGTACCTGGAGCGCCGTCTGTGCCAGTCACGCGGAGCACGGCATCGCCCTTGCCGATGACCGTGACGGTCTGGCTGTTGGCAACGGTGACGTGCTGCGTGACGGCGATGTAGTTGGTGAGGAGGGAGGCGTCGCTGGTGATGTGCGCCGTGGCACCGCTGTCAGCGAGCCACAGCTGTGGTGGCACTGGTCCGATGGCGTGGCCCTACTCCTCGCCCTCGGGCTGCAGCATGAGGGCATCGTGGTGGATGGCGAAGGTCTCCACGCGCTGAGGGCCGTGGCTGACGACGGCCGCCTTCTTGAATGGAGCTGCTCGTCCGTGCTGCGGGCGAGAGGATCCTGGCCGCTTGCCGTTGCCGTTGCCGTGGTTGCGAAGCGTAGCCAGGATCTGCCGCACGTCGATGACGTGGTAGCGCTTGGCCGCCTGCAGCTTGCGGCACTGCTGCGCGCAGTGGCCGCGGAAGTTGCAGAACGCGCAAGTCACGCGCTCTGCAGGTGGACAGCATGGTCCACCGCTCGTGTCGGAGGGCGACGTGCCAGCGTGCATCGGCGATGCAGCGAAGGAGCCGGGGCTTGGCCCGCCGATGGCGAGCACGGGCGTGCGCTTCTTGGGACGATGCAGGCGGCGCTCCTCCTGGATGAGGTCCGCCGTCATCTTGGACAGCGATGGCGGCGGGTCCTCGCGCTCCATGAACCGCATCGCCACATCAAACTCTGCGGGGAGTTCGTTGCGGACGAGGGTGCGCAGGTCGTCCTCCGGGATGGACACGCCGGCAGCAAGGAGCTGCGAGTTGATGTCCGTAATGCGGGACATGAACGTGTCGACGGTGTCCGTGGGCAACCAGGTGGTCGAAGAGAGCTGCTGCCTGAGACGGCTGATGTGGTCCTTGCCGCTGCGGATGTAGCGCTCGCGGAGGCGGCGCAGCGCAAGCACACCGGAGCGGCCACGGTTGTCGGTGATGGCCAGCCGCAGCGGGTGTCCCGTCAGGACGCCAAGGAGGAACGCGAAGATGGCTGCGTCAACCTGTGGATCACGGGGATCCAGCAGGCCAGAGGCTCGGGACGCCACCTGCGCTCCTCCGCTCGGAGTGGCGGAAGAAGGGAGAGAGGAAGAGGAGGAAGATGGGTGAGCGCCGTGGTCGTCGCCATCGCCCTCGTCATCGTCGTCATCATGGTCCGCCACGTCGTGGCGGGCGCCAGTGCGGCGCGGGCCGCGTTGAGCGCGGGAGCGAGTGCGGGGACCCGAAGCACCGTGGGTGCTTGGGCTCGGCGATGAGGCAGCTGCTGGAGCCTGCCCGTCTCCTTGGTGGTCAGCACCACCCTCGGCGATGATGCCAGCGTCGATGCCAGCGGCGATGAGCTTGGCCTCGACGGTGATGAAGAAGAGGTTGGCATCCTGCTCAGCCCCAGCGAAGACCTTGATGCCGTCGGCGCTAATTGAGCTGGGTCTCATAATCTGTTGCAAGTTCATGCTGGTGGTGCTGTTGTTGGAGACTTGTGTGTGTGTGTGTGTGTGTGTGTGCTGTGTGTGCTGTATGTGTGCTGTGTGTGCTGTGTGTGCTGTGTGTTGTGTGGGAGATTGTCTTGGCAAGAGAGAGTTGTGTGTGTTTACTTGAGTTGTGAAGCAAACAAGGATGTAGGATGAATGAACACTCCAACAGAAAGAAACAGAGCACAAGACAAGAATTGTC